CTATTAACATCTTGCATTCCGCTGAATTTTTAAAAAATGTGTAATAAACCATTTTACTGGGAGCTCCTCCAGCTCTTCTAACAATCCATACATCCATGGTTATCAAGGCGACTGGACAAATGTTGCTATCATCATTTTCAAGACATTTTCTTTCTATTTAGGCCTTTAGTATCCGTTCCTCTCCCCCCCACCCTCATGAACTCTTGACACATTATAAATTATTATTTTCATATCTTACACCGACCCTTCCCCCAGGGTTTCTGCTGTTGGTCCCCCTGGGGGAGGGGGGTTATGCGTCGATCATTGTGATCTGGTTCCCCCTTCCTCCACTCCTCCCCCTTTCCCTACCCCCCCCACCTTCCTGGTATCACCGCTTCCCATTTCTACCAGCTTTGTTTTTGATGGTTATGCTTAATGCATTGATGGAGGATTTCTTACTAAAGTGCAGAGTGGACGCTGGGGTTCACAGCATCCCAGTGCTGGGGATTTGCCCATCTCCCCATCTTTAGCACAGATTCTTGTCCGCTGATCAACACCCCAAACGGACCGCCCACCCAGGGCCATCAAGCCCACCCTGACCCATAGTGACCCAGTCGATGGGGTTAGACTGCCCCCTCAGGGGTTCTGAGGCTCATGTTGCTGTGGGCCAGATATTAGGCTGCTAATACCAAGGCTGTTGGTTCAAATTCACCCGCTGCTCCTTGGGGGAAAGACGAGGTTGTCAGTTCTGTTAAAGATTTGCCCTCTTGGGAACGCCGCCGGGGAGATGTTCGACTCTGTCTTACTAGGCCGCTGTGAGGCAGGATGGGGTCCATGCAGTGGGCTTTCTAATCTTTATGGAAGCAGGCCGGCACACCCTTTTGATCCTATAGATGGTGGGTTCAAACCGGCGTAGACTCAGTTAGCAGCTGACTGCCTAGTCGCTGCACCACCAGGCTGCTCAAGTTTCCAGGGGAGCATTTGTGAAATCAGCCCTTTCTTAGAATGGAAACCCGCTCGCTCCCGCCCCTACCCCCCCATCCTTCCTGGAGGTCAGGAGACCCTATAAGGACAAGGACTGGGCCAGAGGCTGTGGGGGAGGATCCTTCCTGGTCCCTCCCAGCTACAGGGGCCCAGGCATGCCCTGCCTCCATGGTCCCCCAGCCATTTGCCCTCTGTGTCTGTTTTCTTTTTATAAGCAACCCCATCTGCAGAGACCTGAGTCCCAAACCTGTGCCTGCTCACAGGTTCTGGGAGTGAGGATATAACCTTT